GATTATGCTGACACAAAGAGTCTGCAGTTTTAATGGGTTCGTGCAAGGCATTGACATGGTATAAAAATCACCACCCTGTTCCCAAAGTTAATTTAAAACATGAAGGACTCGAAGACTTCTGGGAGTGATAGCTCCTGATCTAAAGTTTCTTTTCTTTTAGTCCAGACATTAAGAATTGATATTTCAATGATATAATATATACTTTGCTTGCTTTTAAGTGTTAGGTTCCATTTTTTTCCAGATCTCCAAGCTAATTGCACAGAATAAACTGCTAACATTTTATTTGTATACCGATTGTTTAACTCAGTGGTAGTGGTTTCAAAGTAGAAAATGTTTCATTACTGCCTGGTTCTTTTAACCTGTGATATAATGGATTAAAGAGTTAAATCCTGAGTCTGTATATGTATTGGGCGTGAATTTTATCAATAGGTTACAGTCGAGCCAATAAAATGAGAGGCGAGATTATTTGAAGCAGCAAAGCCAAACAGAAGACTACAATCTAACAGTTCTAAGTTGGACAATCAGAGGTCTTGCTTGGTACAAGATGCCATCTAAGCCTTACAGTTATTTTATTTTCAGTTATATAAATTGAGAGTTAAAATCATATTAATACAAAAAATTAGTGCAAAAGAACAACAGGTAAAAAAGATTTCCATTATCAATAGGTATTAAATAGTTAACATAATTCAAAGTGCTTTTTGGTCTATTTTACAACTAATCTTATTGTGCTTATAAGTATTGACTGTATTGACTGTGATAAGGGTATACTCCTTAAATTACTGTGTCAATTTGCATACTTGCCAATTTGCATACAATTTGCACATGTTTGTTTTAATATTTTGGATTTTTATGAATAAAATTACCATAGAAGGAAAGCATAGCAGAGTACTGTAGCCATAGAGGAGGGCAGAGGACTTGTATTCTGAATTCTCTTCTTGCTTCCAAAAATCAATCAGGCATTGTTTCCATACTTTTAAGCAGTTGCTGATACCTTGTGTGTTCAGAAACCAGCAAACTGTTTGCCAATCTCAAACAATGAAACCTTGATAGACACCTTGGCTTGTGGGCAGCTAAAGTGAGGGCTATATATATATATTATGGCATATTGGGCATGTTAAAAAAAAAAACTTCAGTTTTTGGTACCTGTCTGTTCCACTACAACAATTTTTGTCTCCTGGTCTGGTTGGAACTTGTTCTTATTTACTGCATTCCGTTTGCAACCTGTTAAAGTACATAGTGCTTGATTGTTTTTTTTAAGCATCATGTTGATTGAATTCAAACGATTCCCTGCTTTCTGATCTTAAGGTAAACTTTGCAATTAAACCGTATCATAAAATGTGCGCACTGGTGAACAGACAAATGCTAGATGGGAACACTGTGCAGATGGGCCAGAATTGCTAATTAGAAGTCTCTCTTCAAAGACTAAGTGCACTTCAAAGCTAATTTAGAGTTCAAACCCACACTTCAGCAATGTATGTCAGTCCAGAAATAAAGTCCCATGTGACTCCAGCTGAGATCCTGGCAAAATATTTTTTTTACCATAAATTATAAGTATAACATTTTATTTTCTAATACAGTGGAGGTGCCACATTTGAGCTGCAAAAATCCAACCAACTCAATGACAGGAAAGAGAATTGTCTGCATCTCTTTGCTGCAACCTGGCAATCATCCTCAGTTTTGCAGCCCATGTCTTGCAGCTTTAATTACCAGAATCAGAGTTTATCAATTATTATTATTATTACCTTTATTGTCAGAGTACAACATGTACAGATTGGCTGAGCCTCTCTTCATGCACCTCCCCACAAACACAACTCACAGTGAGGACAGAAGTCCCTAACCCAGTCCAAACTACCTGTATAGTGAGTACAGGTAGGGACTGAGCACACAGCCCTGTGGGGAGCCAGTGCTAAGTTTCAGGGAGGTGGATGTGACAGACCCAGCCCTCACTGTTCTTGGTCGGTCCCTCAGAAAGTCTTTGATCCAGTTGCAGATGGAAGAGGGAAAATCCAAGTCAGTCAGCTTTTTGATAAGGATGCTCGGCAGGATAGTATTGAAGGCCGAGCTGTAGTCAATGAAAAGCATCCTGACATAGTTTCTGGGTTTCTCCAGATGGCTCGCTACCGAATGTAAGGCAGTAGCTATGGCATCGTCTGTCGGCCTGTTCCCCCTGTAGGCAAACTGATGTTTGTCAAAGTCTGGTGAGAGGCATGTCCTAAGCCGTGATGGCAAACCTATGGCACTTGTGCTGGCACGTGAGCCGCAGGCAAACTTACCTCACTGCTCATGCGCATACCTCACAACTGATTTTTTTCCCTGGTTGGTTTGAGGCCTTTTTCAGCCTCCCAGAGGCTTAGAAAAAGCCTCTGCAAGGCTTTTCAGGATGAATTATAGGCCCATTTCGTCACTTCCTGTAATACCAGAAGTGATGAAACGGGCCTATAATTTGTCCTGAAAA